AAACAATTAAACAATAGAAAGATATAAAAAAATATAGAAAAATATCTGAGTTTTACATCATATTATTTTAAAACAACAACATTTTCCATATAATCATATTACATGAATACTATACCTACAGTGTTTTGAGAGTGTCTGAAACTCCAAATGTTGGGTAGATTTTAATAACAGGCGTCTTCAAACTACAGACCACGGGTAAAATGCAAACCAMGAGAAAKTTATCATTTGTTCCAAAAGATAGTAAATAATCTATAGATATTAAAATAATGGCATAACACATAGTAGTAGTTACCACGGTTTAAGATATCTTAAACCGTGGTAGTTACATACTTACATGTCATGTTGACGATATGATCCCAAGAAGCACCAAATACAGATTACATCGCACATGCGCATTAGCTATATACGTATCTATGTACAGTAGAACTTCGATTAACCGTCACTGTCGGGACCGGGGCTATGACGGTTAATCGAATAGACGGTTAACGGAAATTTTCTTTTAAACTTATCAAGCCATCCCGTGCTTGCTTTAAAGTTTGGATCGCCATCTAGTTTTTTATTCATTTCACCTGCCTTGGTCGTAATAATAGGACCAGAAAGTGGAATTCCTTGACTTCGGGCTTGAATAAACCACTGATACATAACGTTGTCAAGTTGTATAATGTACAACAGTATAATGTACCATTACTGTTATCATTACAGTAGCATAATGACTACGAACTTATAGCGTTTTCCACTACACTGCACTGACTGCGCCAGTGCATATTTGTATGTTTTAATCGGCAAGGTTAATGTGCACTGAGTGGAGTTTTTTATGTTTCACCTCAATGCACTACGCCAGTTTTTTGCACCCAGTGCAATGATAAGTACTACAATACCCATTCAATATTTTATTACCTTTATACATATATCAGTGATAAGTATAGATTTTATGTTTCATCTACACTTGCACCAGTCAATAGTGCGGTATGGTGGAAAACGCTATTAGTTCGTGATAATTACGGTGGATTTGTATGTCATATTACTCCATGACTATTTTTTTTTTTTAAACTGACCAACCATATTTAAGTGATGATTCAATTACTTATAAATTAATAGTGTTTTCCACCTTGTCGAACTCACACTGTGTCAGTTTCCACTGTCACTGTGCGAGTTTTTCGGTGTTATCACAAGCACCAACATTTTACTACTAGATATGGAGCACGAAAAATTATTATCTTGGTACACTCATAATTAATGATAACAATATTATATTTTATGCAAATTGCAAAACATATTTTCGTTTTTCAATTATGTTGGCTATTTTTTTCGCTTTTCAGTTTTCTTTGCTCTAAATTCTATAAAAAAAAGTAGGTGCTATACAGTATACCACCTACCCCTATAAAACAATGACTAGTAGAATTGTATAATGTACAATAAATTAACGATTTCAAGTTTTTAATTTTTATATTTCATCAGTAGTGATGACAACTGTTAACAAAAACCGTCTCAAAAAGCTCGTGCGCCAGTTCCGCACCGAGTGTAAAACACTCGTGCAGATTTTYAATATGAAACACATTACACTGTAATTGTGCAAACACGAAGTGGTAGATGGAACACGCAAATGGCACTCAGTGCGCCCTTAGTGCAATAGTGCAACTAGGTGGTAAACGACATTAATTACTTATAGGTAAGTTAATAATAGCTATAATCATATATTTTATGGTAATAATACATAAAAACCAGACTTCCCTAAGCTAGCTATACATTACTTACTAAGATAGTATTGATTTCTAATAAACACTAATCAGTAATCATTTTTACACAAACAATAACATTTATTTGAGTTATGTACACTGATATAATATAATATGATATAACCATCGGTGCAACTAAACATTTTAACTCCGAGGTTTTTTATGACTTAATGGAATCTAAATTTTAAAGCAATTTGTTAGGGTATTAATTTTGACTTAGGTGGCACTCAAGACCAAATTACCACCTTATGTCAAACCAAAATTTAACATTAAAAATACGCTCATGCGGTCCTGGTTACGTCCATTAATATCAAGTCTATGAAATAATCTAAAAATGTGTGTAGTAATATCCAAAATCGTTATCGCGTATACGTGTCAATATTATCACCTGTATTATTATTATATTACAAATTATATTTAAGTATATTACTATAGAACTATTTTTTTAAATATCTATAAACATATTTATCTCTATAAAATAAAAATAAAACTATATGACTTGTTTATACACTTTTGACCCAATAAGAGCTTTTGATATTTTATGTGGCCCTCGGACCTTCAATAAAAAGTTCGTAGACCCCTTGGCTATATATATTGTAATATGCTCATAATGCTCATATCAATGAATATATCATATACTAGATAGGTATTTACATATGTATGTATTCTATTTTAATATTTACGACGAATCAATAAAGTTTTAGAGGAATTGGAATCTAAAAAAAGTAGGATAAGAATATATAAATATACCTACGAGTATTTTATCGTTTCAGATTTTTGTTTTACTTTTTAATTTTTTAATTTAAACAGTCATAACTTTTTTAGAAAGTGCTAAGTAATAATTAATTCACATATAGATATATAAAAATCATTATACAMATTTTAAGCTAATTATTATTTACATTATTTATTTACCAAGTAATATTTACCAAATTTTATAATTACCAAGTTAAATGTTATATCCATGAACATATCAACAAAAACATAATGTATTGAGATTAGGTTTTATATTTTGGCAACTTATTAAAATGGTTTGAATCTATCTATCTGATCTATATCTAGTTAATCGTCATCAACAAGTTAAAGTAAATAGTTATATATCATCTGAATGAAATGTAAGTTTTGGTGTCCCTCAAGGTGGACATTTACCTCTTGGCTATTTTTAATATTTTTATTCGATATCGATACATGTTACAAATCTTGTCAATTTAAACTCTTTACTGATGACTTGAAACTTTATCATAATATAGCCTGTATAAATGATTGTTTGACTCTACAAGAAGACCTAAATAGACTTCTTGATTGGTGTATTGTAAATAAATTAAAGCTCAATGTCTCTAAATGTTCAAAAATTACGTTTTATCGCACAAAAAATAAAATCAACTTTAATTATTCAATTAATGATGTTATACTACCTTATGTTACTACGTACTATTCGTGATCTTGGTATTTATTTGCAATCTGATTTATTATTACCCACTCACATTGACCAAATTTGTTTAAAAGCTCTAAAAAATCTTGGATTTTTATTTATATTTATTTAATTTTTTACTGATATTTATTGTCTTAACACCCTTTTCTGTTCCCTGGTCCGATCAATATTGTAGTATGGATTTATTGTATGGTGCCCATTTTCGACATGCTATATTGAAAAAATCAAAAGGATCCAAAGCAGATTTTTGAGACTAATTTGTTTAAAAAAAATATTAAACAATGAAAATGACAATGATATAAATGATATTTAAAATATCCTTAATCTCAGTCCATTATCTATTCGTCGTAAAAAAGCTGATATTTTCTTTCTTTCTAAATATATTAATGATAAAATTACATGTTGTTCTCTCTTAAAACGTATTTATTTAAATGTTCCTCAATTTTATACTCTCAAAATTGCTCTAAATTCTACATTAAAATCCAGTGCCCACCATACTAATTATGTATATAATAATCTCTTTGAAAGAATTTTAAGAATGGGCAATTTATCGGGAATTGATCTCTTTAATTTGTAAATATCCACCGTATATTTATGAGTTAACGGTTATATAAATTCTTATATATTATAACTTCTTAATTGTAATTTAACAAATCTTATTATAAGTTAATATTATATAAGTATATAACGTATGTCATATATTATTATATACATAGGTAGTATGCTGTACCAAAGCAATCTATGGTGTTTATCTAAATAAATAAAATTATAATATTATAATTAAATATTCTATTAACTATATTAAATAATCAAACCAATAGACAATAGTTTGGTTGACGAAGTTTTATTATTATAATATTTATTTTTTTATTTTTTTATATATTCTATTTATTAATTGACCCACGGAAACATAGGCCCTTGGGTGGTTATTCTAATTAGGTCGGTTTTAAACACGTGTATATGTGTAAGATTTTTGCCACTAAGAACCCCGGGTAGTTACCCATCCGGGAGCTGGTATTAGCTGCATGGCGGAGCGTACACTCAATCACGTTGTGTGAATAATTATTGCAGCAACCGCGCCACGCCCAGCAACTATAATATTATTCTATTATTGTAATTACAATTTCGGTTAAATTGCATTATACGATATTATAATTTAATATTTTTAATATTAAATAATATTATATTTAAACATATTACATTTTGTAAACATGCAATTTCACATATTATGTGATACAACATGAATAATTTGACAACTATTTACGAGTAATTGATCGATTTAGCGTTTCTTTAATTGAATTATTAATTTAAGAAATTTAAACAGCAGTAATAGACATCATATTGATTGAGAGTCGAGAGACAATAATAATAATAATAATAATAATAATAATAATGCTGATAGTATGAGATCATAATATTTAAAAAATTAGGTATATCAGATTATAATGTAAAAACAATATTTTGTTAATTTTTCATATTATATAATCACTACTTTTTATACCTTTCAACTTTTTAGGTGCCTATATAGGATGTTCGCGTACGCATTCATGATTTGAAATCGCTTCCTCGTTGCTTATTAAAATTCTGAATTCTAGTCAAAAAAATTAAATTCCTCGCTCTCAACGATTTTTTATGACGATGGCCACCACAATCCAATAATAATGTGCTTAGGTACTCCGGTCTCTGGGTCGGACTACTCTTTGAATTATTATATTATTGTATGGATGGATGGTTTTATATAGACGTGTTGCATTTATATCGTTATTCGTTAACGTGTATTATACTGTTATTTCACTATTTCAGCCAGTTTTCTTTGATCATGTCGGACGCTTTCTCGCCTATCATAAAAGCCATCGCGTTGGTGTGCCCGGCCGGTATGACGGGCATAATGGAAGTGTCGACCACTCGGAGGCCTTTGACGCCACGCACTCTGAGCTTTGCGTCCACTACCGCATCCGGATCCGTATCTGGTCCCATCTTGCAGGTGCCCGACTGGTGATGCAAGTTGGTGGACACCAATCCGGTGGCGCACATCCAATATGCATCCGACTTAAACGTCTCATGTTCGCAGCCGGGGAACGGAATCGGCAGCAGTCTGGACCCATATTTTTGGAATGCTGGAGTCTCGCTCACTGCGATGGCCTGTGAAAAGAGTAACCATGTCAATTAAAGCAACTTATTCACAAAATGACAGCTCTGCAGCTGAAGGCAGTACTTTTTATTCTTATATTTGTTCACCCATATTAATTTCACACCTACATACGTAATATTATTTAAAACCACTTAATTTAAATAATCACTTATTGAACATTTAGGAATGGTCAAATGCAATCAAACAAAAACTATATTCAAATCAGAGTTACACTTTAACCCTGAAAAGTGTCAATCGACAATATTGTTTAAACATGGCCCAGAAAAGGTTATAAATAGAAGCGTAACTTTAGTCGTGAAATTTTGAGATAAATTTTACTTAATAGGTACATTTAAAGTGAGTTGCATTGTCATTTACTAAGTTTTTAAAAAGGTATATATATAACATATAGTATTAATATAGCAGATGCTTTAAATTTTTAACGAATAGGGCCTAGCTGTTATTATAGAACTATCTACGATTAAACAGATCAATATACAATTTGACAGCAGTATATAAATACACATTACAGAAAACTAAACAATTAATACAAATTACAAAATATAATAGGTAGTTAAGTCTACTGTCTTATACTTGTAATAAGGTCTATATACTACAGTGTTATTGCTAGCATTTGTGCAGGTAAACTAGTAAATATAATATATTCTATTGCATTGTTTCTCAAACTATGGTCCGCGGACCCCTGGGGGTCCGTACGTATGCCGGAGGGGGTCCGCGAATGTAAATTAAAAATACACAAAGTACCTATCTATAAAACGAAAATACTGATGTTATATTCGTATTACATAGAAAATACTGGATAATTAATACATTGTTACATTAGTACAATAGTTAATAGTTATCGTTGAAATGCAATTAAGATTAATCATTTTTTTAAGATTAGTTCGTGATCATTTTTATGTTTTCTAAGGGGTCCGGCAGAGAAAAAGTTTGGGAAACGCTGCTCTAATGCATTATGTCTCTGTATAACTGCGCTAATATATTTGTTATCGTCTAATTCCATGAACTTGTAAACGAATTCAAATTTGTAAGTTTGTTAAATGTTTGTTTAATCTTATAGGTCATTTGGTTTATCACTATTTGCTTTTTTTGATAATATGCATAATATTTAATATTATAATCATCTAGAAAAATGTCTGTGGAATTTATACCAATGTGGAATATTATTTTATACTATATATACTTATATATTAACAAACTTTAAATAATACTGACACATTATTAAAAAAGAAATAGAAAAATAAACATGATATATATACAATTTGCAACAGATAGAACTGACTTTTGGAATAACTTTTGTTCAAATTAATATTTTTATTTAATTATTTATTGTTCATTAAGTGATCCTAGCGCTAAAATATGTATAATATTTTTTTTTATGTTTAATTTTTAGTATTGAAAGTAAAAAAATTTTAATTTAATAAACAAATTTCTGGATAAATTCAAGAAAATTTTTTATTATAAAAAGATTTATCTAAGTCATGTAGTTTATATTTTAGAATTTTTTTAAAATTCAATATTTTTTTGGCTTAATTATTTTGGAACTTGGAACGTAATAACTTTGAAAAAAATATAATTTTTGAGAATTTGTTGACATTATTATATTGCTTAAATTATTTACTTATCATATAATATGAACAATTTTTATCATACGTTTAATTAGCATAATCTGTTTTGGTCAGTTTTTTCTGTTACATCCTGTATAATATCCAATTGTATTATTATAACTTTTAATACTAAAATTATAAATTTATAATGTTTTTATAATATTCATATTTTAAATTTTTTATTTGTTGGTGCCTATATAATTTATAGTTTACCTATATTATATTAAATTATTAACGCCTATTTGCTATTTTGTAAGTATAAAATATGTTGTTCAAGCGTTGTAATACATGTCATTATGTATTTATATAACTACCCAAGTAATTTCCTCCTAGTTCTAAAGTAAATTATGAATATTAAATATACCTATTAACTTTTTATCATATAATATAGGCTGAGACGGTAAATGATGGTTATCAGGTTATGGTGTATTTATGTATAATATTACTGAACAMGTGGCCATAACGAATGTGTTACACTGAACTAAAGTAAAAGTGATGCAATGCTTAAGATGGAATTCGTAATCCACAAGAATGTTTTTATAACAAAATGAATATATAATATACACTTTTTAGTACATAAATATTGCAAAAAATATGTTTCTTAAAAGTTATAGATGTTTTCACTATATAATGTTTTAAATAAATAAAAAATATTAGATATTGAATAGAAAATATTACTAAACATTAAAAAAATATAACTTGTAGAATCTAAAAAAAACCATCAATGAACTAGAGCTAAATTAATGATTAACGAACGAATGAATGCTAACTAAAATACTGCGATTCGATTGTAATTAGCAGAGTTTTGTTTGAACAAGTCGTAAATACAAAAGACTTTATTATATACATAATTTTTAGTGTTATACATTAATTAAATCATTATCAAATAAAATTAAAAGATTAAGTCATGTTTGACGCTATTTTTCGTTCAATACTGACCCTGATAATATTAGTTCATCGATGATATTATGATTATGTTAGATTCACATTTAAACCATGTGAGACATGATGTTTCACAGCATCATTTAGCTATGTCTATATTCTTAGTTTCATGTCCGGAAATAGATTACCTACTTTTTTTAAATTTGATGTTATTGGACTTAAACAATGTTAAATTAATAATAGGGTTCAAAATTTGGATATGCGAAAAGCTGTGTCCGAAAATATTGATCAGTGTTTTTAGACACCCCAAGAATTGTGACTATTTAGATGAATATAATTTGATCGCAAATAAATATATAATATTGTATTAAACAAAAAAACTCTAGTGTCTGTCACCGAGGAGAACCTTTCCGAGGGTGTGCAACGTGTATCGAATACAGACTAGTAAAATAGTATAAGAAAATTCGCACAACGAAGAATTGAAAAACAACGGACGGCATAAACCACTGCGCGACGACGTGCCGGTCGATCGATGTTTCTGCAGCAGCTATTTCTATCTTCTATGACGATCTTCATGCATCATGCTGACCAGATGAGCAAAAAACTAGTACAAGGCCACCAGGTCGCGAGAGTTTCGCGCGCATATCAGCTGTGGGCGCGTCAAGGTCCGACCAAAAGCCAGGTGTATACCGCAGGTGTAGTGGACGGGATGATAAATAATATCGCGGTTATCGTTTGTTTTTCTGTTACAGTGTCTCGATAAGTGATATCAGATCTTAAACAAATGAAATATAATAATAACACTGCGGTAGTTCGTCGACAGCCGGTTATAATAATAATAATTTTGGTAATACATAATAACCGGTTACCGCGGCGCGAAAACGTTTCGTAACGCCACGCGGTGTAAACATTATATTAATATTATTATTACCCGTGGAGAACAAGTTACTGTTGCTGTTGTTGTTATTTTTATTGCAGTGCATTGGTGGCTTGCTCGATTGCGATTATCGGGCGGATGATTTGACGTATGAGTACGCGTGTTTTCAAAAATAGAGAAAACGGTCGCAAATGCAATAACACTACACTAATATTACGCCGCAAACGCGACTCACGCAGCGAAGCGAATAAAAAAAGTCTTATCATGTGCATCACATCCACAAAGTACGTGCGTGGTACTTACGAATCCGATATCAGTGCAATCGCTTCGTTTATTTATTTGATGTCACGGATTCCAGAAAATAATATTTGTCCAAACGAAGAAAAACATGAAGTTGTGTTATATTGTTACACGTTATTAAACACAAACGGATTTAGTGTTAGACGTCCAATAGTCTACCAGACAACGCGGTGAAAATCGAGATCTGGCAATCCAAACTTAAAATTCGTTCGTTTTCTGGTAAATACATTATTCATTCATGAAAAATTACTATGCTTTTGAAAGAAAAAAGCCAGTATTGAGTATACTGGTATCGAGAATCAAAATCGTTATTTTATTACATGTGACTAAGTAACTCGTATATATTTAATATGTATGTATTGATAATAAAACAAGCCTCGGTATTTGAAAATATTACATAAACGCCCTATATAAATTTAATGCATGTTCGTATTGATGCTATTGACCTTGATTGTTGAAATTATTTTACATATGCGTTCAATATACCTATACTCTCGAATAATGAATATTATAAACAGTTCAAATTGATCGAAAGAACGACTACGTAGTGCGTAATAGTAGGTATTATTACACATTTACACATGTCCTGTATAATATACTTGTTGGTATTCAAATATACGACCAAAAACTATAGTTTAATAAATAATATAAATAACAAATATATTATACTATAATATTCAGCATACAAAAACAACGAATAATAAATAATATTTTTATTTTTTACTTCGCAACTGGAACATTTCGAATACATTTTTGTTACGACAGAAATACTAAAAAATATAAACTAGCCTTGGGTCTTATAGTTTAGGTTTGGTTAGAACACACATAACATTATGATACAAATAAAATTCGATGATATGCAAATATTATTATACATTTAGTATTTACATACATTCGTAATAAACTATGACATTAACTAAATAAACGAATAGATAAACGTCGCCAATCACATGTACTACTAAAATACATATTTTTCTATCCCTGTTAGATTCAAGGTAGACCATTTATAAACATACGAATTGAATCAGGATTTTAATTTAGATAGTATTTAAAACAAACACATTTATCACTATCAGTTTTGTTGGACTTTTGTTATATTAGGTACCTATATTCACATAATATATTATTATTCTCGTCCACTACTTATTTATTTTGTTTAAGTTATAATGGTCATAATAAATTTACTCACCTCAATAATAATAATGATTACAATAATTACCTGCTTTATGCCTTCGATAAGAGTTTCTCTATCTCGCTTGTCCGTCAGGTAGCCAGCGTAAAACAGTGGTGCATGGAAAGGATTGGCGGACCTCAGCTTGACGCGTCCTCGACTCAAAGGCCGAAGCAGAATCGGCACCAAACCCCAAGCGTCGTGTTCTCGGAACTTGCCGTATACCTGATCGTAAAAAGTGTCGTTCATGCCTAGCAAACGGCGCAACGACCCACCCGTGTCACCGGTCAAGGCTCCTGGACCGAACACCAGTTCCATGTCGGGCGCCACAGATCCGTTGGTAGCATGCCGCGTTGCCGTGAAAGCCACCGCCTCTGCACCCCCCGGTATGGTGAACGGACCCTGGCTGGTAACTGCGTAATGGACTAGGTATTTGGGGTTCCAGTACCGGCTCTCGACAATGGTCACCGACTGGTTGACCAGGAACACTAGCCCGGCCATGGATACATGGTCCTGTAGATTATAACCAACTTTGAGATCCTTGACGACGGGCACGCCGACCTCAGCCAGATGATCGGCTGGCCCTATACCCGACAACATCAGTAACTGCGGCGTGTTGAGTGCACCCGCGCTCAGTATTACCTCCTTGCGCGCGTGCACCACTAGGGTCTGTCCATTTTTCACGAATTTTACGCCAGTGGCACGTTTAGTGTGTGGGTCTATTAGTACCTTGGTTACCAGAGAACGTTTTGTAACTGTCAAGTTTGGCCTATTCCGGACTGGACGTAGGAACGCCTTGGCCGCACTGCACCGAGTGCCGTGGTCCGTCGTTGCCAATATATACGAGAAACCCGACGGCCGCGGCCCATTGTGGTCGGCCGGCACTTCGTAGCCCAACTCCTGACCGGCACGCAGGAATACTGGGCCTAATTTTGTCTTCCACGTAGGTTCCTCCACTTTGAGGTACCCACCGCGGCCGTGGTACGGTGACTTTGTCAGTGGACTTTGTCTGACGTCCTCCGATTTCTTGAAGTACGGTAGCACGTCCGCATAACTCCAGCCATCGTTTCCCAGTCTGGCCCAGTTGTCGTAATCATCCGGCATGCCACGTGTGTACACCATGTAGTTGATAACGCTGGTACCACCCATCACCTTTCCCCTAGGCCACATACATTTCCGGTCTATCATCGCCCCACATATGCCCTCCTGTGGTTCGGTTCGGTAGCCCCAGTCGTATCCGGTACCGATCAGGTAGCTGACTAGCAGTGGAACGTCTGTCATGGCATTCTCCTCTCCACCGGCTTCGATCAGCAGCACCGTCCAACCAGCCACTTCAGTCAACCGGTTGGCCACCACCGACCCACCGGAACCAGCGCCCACCACCACGAAGTCGTACTGCCGCCTCACGAAACCCGCGTCCGGCACGGCATTTTTGGGTTCCGGTCCCAACATTCGGTAGTACTCGACCACCGCCTGGAACACGGTGTACGCCATTCCATGGCCTGACCCGGCCAGTGAGAGCGTCGTCACGATTACCGCAAATACCATACTTGCGTAGTTCATCGTAAAGTGTAAATGCAAAAAAAAAAAAAACTAAATAATATGATCCAAACCGTCGAGATCTACAATCGTTGATGCTCGCTTTGAGCGTGAGCGTGATACAGTGCGTCCGATTAATTTCCTTCTAAGTCTTTTACGACCAATGACCATATTATATACCACTACCACTACAAGCACCATTTCTGTATATCAAACTGCTGTTGCTCCTCTACTTATGTACTATATTGCATTTCTCCTCCGCCCCTCCGTTAAACGAATTTCACGCACCTTTCGCCAGCATCACCTTCTCTAATACAGTGGTTAACGTTATAATGATAATACAATATATAATATATAATATATTGTATGTATGCATGTCATGTTGTTATATTATATATGATATAATATTATGTATTATAGTATTATTAAATTCTTGTTTTATTTTTATGTGAGCATGTTTTTGTTATACCAAGGTCAGTGAAAAAAAAAGAAATGGTCCATACCTACAGTGAAGAGTATTTTTCGTTTTTAATCAAATTGAATTTTTAGTATAGTTGAAGCACTAAAATAAAATTTTAGTTTAATTGAAATATCATATACTTTATATATATATTGCTAAATACAGTATACTCCGAGAATCAGGACAAATCGGTCAAGACTCAAGAGTAATTTTGTCACAAAATCCAAAAATTAAAAATAAACATGATATTTATTGGAAATAATTATTACAAGAATAAAACATTATAAAATGTATTTTAGCCATTTGGTTGTTAGACTCTAATAACATATATTATACGCATTATTTGTAATTAATTTAGAGTTAAAAAATACAAAAATGCGATGTTTATTTCAGTATTCAGTATATTAAAGACCTAAAAGATCTTTTCACACATTTTATGTCCTGGTTCGTTCTAAGTATTTTCCAATGACCTCATTCACATAAATACTCTGCTTTAGACTTTTTACGTTACATGTAAATTCATAGTACTTGTTGACATAAGAGTCTTTTTGTTTAAAAATATTTTCTTATTAAACTTAATAGCTCATTACATCTATAGGTACAACTGCAGTTTTGTAAAAGATACTTTTAAAAAGTATTTATAGATACTTCCAAATGCTTTTTTTTTATTCGAAATGTATCTTACCTTTTTACCTTGACCTATTATAAAGTAAAAATTTTAACTTTCAAGAACTATTAAAATTTTTAAATTCGTACTTCAAAGTTTATAGTGGATTCATAATGCAAAGTATTATTATTGTTCCTTCTACACATCAATTATTAAATATTATAATACCAACATTTTGTTAAAAACTGTGAACAAATAATGAACACTTGTACAATGTTATGAAATATAAGATATAATAACAGTAGGGGGATACATAAGTTTGTAAATTCACATGTTATACATTTACATAAGTAACCAAATATTAAAAAGGTACTTCATAAATATTTTAAAAACTATAAGCAACAATATACAATTGTTATTCTTTCATTTTATTTTACATATAAAATTATTACAACAGCCTTTAACAAGAATATTATATTTTATAATTGTTATTATATATTTATGTTACCATATAAATCGTTACATTACAACATAGAAGATCTTATTATATTAAAAGTATTAATATAATAAATAACAAATAAAATTACTAAATGCCTAATATTGCTGACATTTTATGTTTTTTGGAAATTATTACTGCAAAACTATAAAAGAATCACAATTGTTAATTTTTATATTTCATAGAATTGTATTTATTTTAGATTTATAATTCTAATACACCTGCACTGTTCTGTATGGATACGAGTAAATAAATACTGCAGTTGATTATGTCCGAATTTTCTTTTAAACGGCATAGCAGATAGGCAATATAGGTACATTACTGTATTGAAAAATAACGTTGAAAAAACTACTGGGAGTATCATTTTACTGGAATATTATTGTAGTAGTTAAAAAAAAACTACAAATTTAAATATTTTATTGAATTTTAAATTCTGAGCGTAGTGATGGATATATTCAGGGCCGGTGCAAGCAAATTTTTAAATGTAGACAAAGATCAAAATTGCTGCCTTTTGTTTTATTATAACTTTTCTTATATGCCGCCTCTATATTATAAATATTAATTTTGCCGCCGTAGGCTTATGCCTACGTCGCCTACGCCTATAACCGGCCCTGGATATATTGATATTATATAAGGATGTGTGCGTTTTTTTTAGTGTCAGAAAAGACTTTTCGCAGTAGAAAAAATGCTCTGATCATCAACTTTTATTGAGGTTTATCGTTGAAAAAGATGAACTGGTCTTTGCAAGAAACCTCAATGATTTATTAATTGAATTTAAATTTAACACATCCATTACTTGTAGTCTACTCAACGATGATTGACGATGTTCACTCGAATTCTACAGTACAGTAGAACAATAAAATTACTAAAATTACCTTTTTTAACACATTTTTTTAATAATTCAAACTACTATAATAAATGCAAAACTTATACTTAATTTTCATCATATAAATTATATGTATTTTTACGATGTTTTTATAGTATTAAGGTAGGTACTATTGTAAAAGGATTTACGTAGCATAATGCGACGGAGTTATAAAATTTAAATCAAATATTTAACTTAATTATATTCATAAATCATAACTAATAAGTACGAAATCTTTATTAATTTAATTATGGTGAACTTTTTCTTTAAACGCTATATTGCACTTTCATCCTCATCATAATATTAAATATATTTGATGTAACTATATTGTAATTTATCAAAAATAATTAAATTTGAATAATTTATTAAAAAACAAAAACTTGTAGTATTATTTATATCAACGTTATTTCAAAAAAATTTACGACATTTAATATTATTATTTCTTTATTTAGAAATTAATATTTTATCTATAATTTGTAGAGGAATAGTATTTAAAAATTAAAAATATAGCCATAAAATCAACCCTGTATCCAAAATATTAATCTATTATAATAGTAATGTAGAATATTAATGTTTGTAACACTAATTTAAGGATCATAATATTATACTACTATACGTACATCAAGGAAAAAATATTTGCCAATAGCAATATTCATCTTAGGAGTTTTTTTTATATTTATTGAATTAATTCCCAGACCTAATTGGTTATAATATTTACATTTTAAAAACGTCTTCTATGCATTTTAAAGTTGAAGCTAAAATTATATACATTTTATAACTATTGATAAAGCAATAATACAACCAGATGTGGGTGAGACCTAATTTCAAGCATGTAAAACATATTTACTTGACACAATAAGCTCATTGACTCGTTGACTGTTTCRGGGACTATCCCACTGACATAAACTTGAAAACAAATGTATAATTTGATCTATCACATAACTTATAAAATAAAAAAATAAAACGCATTTTTTGTTTTAATATTTATATGGACAAAAAAAAATATACATACAAATATCATTCAGTTTATTTTAATTATTGTTTAATTTAATTTAATATTTAACAATCTATAATTTATAAGAGTGGTATAGAAGACAATTTGAACTTTATACCAACTTTAAACTCATTATCTAAACAATAAAAAATTGTTTTTCTATCACCATCAACATGGTTGACTCAAAGTATTCACTAATCAATACTAATCATTGGATTTCTCAAACCGTTTTATAAATATTTTAAAGTAGAGAAAAGTACGAGGTAGTAGAGGTAAGGAAAAAGCTATTGAGATCAAAACCGGTATCGAGAAAGTAAAAAATTACACTGTACACAAGCTATCTTAGGCCAATAGTAATCTACGGATGTGAGACTTCGTCCACGACAAAAGATGACAATAGAAAACTTATTATATGGGAAAGAAAAATATTAAGAAATTTATATAGACTGGTGTATAATGACAACCTTGGAATTTATGAAAAGAGACACAAGGAAGAACTGTATAACCTGTATGAAAAACCAAGTATACTCACATATATAAGGTGTAAACGTCTAGAGAGGCTGGGAGATGTATGGAGAGCTGATGGAGATGTATTTAAGAATGTTCTGATACGAAAAATAAATAAAAAAACTCCACTTGGAAGACCAAGAACAAGATAGAAAGACACCATAGAAAAGGATATGAGACTGATAAATGAGCATGCAGCGTTAGACTGGATTTGGATTGCGAAAAATGAAAAGCTTACTAGTGGTATAGCACAAGTACTCAATGGACCGTTAAGTTGTTGAAGAAGAAGTAGATATACAATACCTACATCTGCACTATAACTATCAACATTCAATATTTCATAATATAAAATATTCTGATGTTAATTTATTTGTATATAATTCATAAAACATAAGATTATAACAAGATTTATTTTTTAATATGGGTCATTAAATATTATTTTAAATTTTAAACAATTGATTGCATTTAATATTTAATTAATTTTTTTTTAATTTGTTGTCGCAGGGTCAACGCATGAATATGGTATATTTTTAATTTTAATAATGCTGAATATCAGATAATTATATTCGTTTCGGGTATAATTAGGTTTATGTATAGGTACTTAAATAATTTGTTTGATAATAATTGATATATTTTTTATTCTAATATACATGTCAAAAAATATGTACCTAAGTAATAGAAGAAATATACTATTGTCTATTTTGTTGAAACTAATAAATATTAAACGTAATTAGCCCCAGAATTTACTTTTCGAGTAGTTTTCGTGAATATTAAAATATTCTTGTTTTTGGAAGAAATTTATAAATAACATTTACAGTAGAAATTCAGTCTTAGTGTTGTATTAATGTAAATAATACAAAAAAAAATGTATAAAACTATAAAACGATTTTATTAGTGTAGGTACTAAACCACTAAAAGTGGTACCTACCAATTTTACCTAAACATTTGTAGAAATTTTATTCAAAAACCAACCAACCAATAGTCGTATAAAATTCATAAATTGTTAAGATAAATTTAAATTAATAAGCTTTGTATCAAAAAGAAAAAAATAGGTAAGTATTATTGTTATGGATTTCCATAATTTTAATTATATCATATTATTATTCCATTATTTGTTTTTATAATAATTATTATTTTCTCTAATATTACAATAAAAAACTAATCAAGTTCGTGGATAATGTAGACAAGGTTCTACATCGAGTACTGATAATATTATTCACTAATATAAGTCAATTTAAAAGTATAAGATTGAACTTCGAGGTCGGTTATCGTGATGAGCGAGGACAAAATGACATTTATTTTATTCAAGTTACTATACATATATAGAGATTTTTTACGGGTTAATAATATATACTATTACAACCTCATTCGTCATTCGTCAAATGTTGAGCAGATTTTTTTTTAAATTTAAAATTGTTAATAATTATTTAGACGTAAGACTAATATGAGTGAATTTAAGTACAAATTTACAAATTATGTTACTAAGCGCTACACACAGTGTCGCGTTAAGCTATGTTTGCCGCCTCATGGCAAATTAAAATATACCACCCTTAAGATAATTATAATCATATATTTTTATTTTTTGTTGATCCTTAAAAATTCACGACCCCATCAAACACCATACAATTTGTCACCCCGGGGCAATCGTTCCCTTTGTCCCCCGTCAAACACGGCTCTGGTAACCTACATATTTTTTATTAATTTTAAAAGAATATATACAGTCAAGTCTATATAAATACACGTAGAACAATTAAGGTATGGGGCAAAGGAGATTACAACAATAATATAAATTAGTTTGCTCTTAGCTCGGGATTAATATAGTTGCAAAAATTTCAATCAAAAGGTACCACGTTCTTCAACCTATACTGTTTATTGCCATAAAAATATTATAGTGTAACATTTATTATAGTAAAATTCTAGTTAAATTGAAAATAGAAATTTAAGCATTATTGCTTTCCAATTTCTTAAGAATCTGAAATTGCTAATTTATAGATTTAAAATTATTTAAGATGAATCACAAATTCATTTTAACTAGGTATTCAAACATTTCAAACAGTTTTTGTTAAATTTATTGGCAGGAGATAGGTAAAAATATATTATAATAATTATATATATACATATATTTGTTGGCTTGTCTGTCGTTTATTGCCGATAACGCGTTTTGTACAAATACTTTTATTATACTAATTTAACAATGGCAGTTTAAATAAAAATAATAGCTATAAGACATTAGACTCCAGTCTTCAACTATAAAAATAACGATTGTTAATCACTTATGCCTACATAATAGCACTAACGTTATACCTGATTGATAATGATATTTATATTACCGAAGTATTAGTACCTTTATATAATATTACCTATATGGCTATATCATATGATATATAAATACCTATAATAGATATTATACAAATATACAATATAACTCTATACTAACTATATGTACGTATTATATACTTACTGAATGTTTCCACTGCACAAACGACTCTGTTTTTGACGTTTTTGTCAAAAATAGGAAAAACGCCCGAACCTTTTATTAAATATTTTGGTTTAAGTTGCCATTTAAACTGTGTAATAACATGATAATAAAAGTGTATAAATACTAAATAGAATTACGAATAAAATCTACCTAGAACTGACAGACTAAATAAGTATTTATATTATTATTACTTATATATTATTTTTATGCTTAAGTACCAAAGTKGTTAAGAAAATATATTAAAGTATGAAGGATGCAATTATTATGTATAACAATATTTGAGCATTTACGGGTATTCCAAATATGACTATACTTTAACGACTAACGAGTGATTCCCAGTTTTTAATGTTTCACATATTACAGCAATCGGTCTTCAATCCTTCGAAATCTAGTCAAAGACCGCAGACGTACTACATGACCGTCACATCATTATCATCCCCAATGTATCAAACATTCCAACATTCCATGTTGGAATGATCAATGTATCCCCATTGTATCAACCCCACATCTTTCAAACCCTAAGCAAATTATTTATATAATGACCCCCCCCCCATAAAGGTATAATTTTCTGTATASAAATTTTGAATTTTTGTTATAACTTTATAAGTCATCAATAATTTSGTATAAATAATACTATAATAATTAATTATACATTAAATAGTAATAATATAATTAAAAATACTTATCAACCCGGATGACTTTTGAAGCAGTCTTTTATGCAGTAAACATAAACTTTGCTGATATGTAAAACTATTATTAGAAAATAGATTTTATAATGCATTAATTATTAATAAAATTCAATACATAAAAAATATTCTAAGTATATAGTAATATCATTATTTATTTACAGTACCTATCACATAAATATTATACATACATATATAATACATAATTATTAATATTATGTCAATGGGAATAAGACATGATACACAGCGGCCACGTTACAGCTTATCGCTTTTTATCGCTAAATGCCAATAGTCATCAAAAATCGATAGATACTGCTACAATGAGAATGACTATAGTGAGTCGGCTAATGCCGCTACCACCATGGCATCATACTACCATAGTAGCTAGGTACTCCATAGCTAACTCCCACTGCAGTGTGTACGGACCTGAATGCAGGTAAAGTTTCAGGGAGCCAAGGGATACCCCCCCCCAGAACAATTTCTAGGGCTAAGCAATTGCATTAGGTAAACGTCGTTCACCACGCCACTGATCATCCCACGTCGTAACACACTTACACAGATCACGAGCGTCTCAGAGATAATACCTAAATATATTGCTGTGGTAGTGTGGTATTGTATGTATGTTACTTCCAAAGGCTATAACAATAGTCCATTGGCATATACAAATAGATATAGGGATCACAGAGGTGCATACAAGGAGGGAAGTGGGGGGGTCAGATCCCCTGCTATTGGCATTTTTTATTTTGTTTACATTATGTAGGATGCACTATAATGTAATATTTTTTCATACTATAGTATATTTACGTTTGATGACAGGATTTTTTTTATTCTTATACATTAAACTAACAGATATGGTAGCCAAGAACATGTGTAATCTAAATGGTACAAGTTTCAAAACGATCCCACAATTTTCACATTTTAAATTAATTTTTAAGCATACAATTTGCAATAAATGCTGGATGATTTCTCATATTTTATCAAACTCCAGCCGTCTTCAATTGTACTAAAGGCTTCTGAAGTGTTAAACATTAAATAAAAGTTGCAGGGCTGGTAGCTGACAACGTGCCTAATCAAACTGTAAAGTTATCAAGTCGATAACTTTTTCTATGATTTTTAAATAATTTATAAAACTGAAATTCGCATAACTGCCAAGCGATTCCATCATGTAGGTAATCTGTAAAACTCCACCCGTCCGCTCAGTGATTATAATATGACCTTTGAGCCTTATACATGAAACTACCATAGCTTATACTGTTTATAGATCACAACATTTGCAATCAACATTGAAAGTTTCAACTGTTTCAAGCTAATATCATGGTTTTACGATTTTTAATGAATTTTTATCAAAATAAGTGGTGGATGGTTAGAAGACTAATATATTTACTACTTGATTATTTAACTATAATAACTACTTAGTTGGTATTCATTTATTGTTTTATTATGAATGTTATTTACGTAATAAAACTGATTCAAGTGTTTTTTTTTTAATTCAATATGTTACAGGTGCTTGTAGAAAAACATTAATCTGATAACTTTACAAAAAATTGGTTTTCATCATTATGCTATACCGCGACCGTCTCGACAAACGGAGCAGAGGGTACTTTAATAATATTATTATGAGTATAATAATTACATGCAATACGAAATAACGATGATAATAACGCTGTCGTCAATAGATTTTATAGTAATTATTATTATTATTATTTTCGTGACAAATCGACGCCGCGATCTATGATTATACTGCAGATCCTAATAACATACCATTAACGCGTTATCAGGTTGTCGTCAACCACGGCACCTCTATGGCTCTGTTAGCGGCGGCAGAACGGTGGCAGCGGGGAGTCTGCGCAGCGCGTATACCGCGAGTCACGATTCACGACCACGTTGGTAGTCCGGCGTCAAACTCACCGGTGTCAGGTTTGTTTCAGTGACGGTTAGACCGACGTCGGTCTCGCGAATTTGCGAGATTATAATTTTCACGAGAATAGTATAATTCGCTGAACGCGGTAGTGGATTTTTTGTGTTTTTCCACCCATGCCGGTTTATCAAATTTTTTTTTTCATACCATATTTTTGCGCTATTTCTGGATTTAGCAAATAATAATATTACATATAGCGCGTCGGATGTAACTTACAATCGAGTTAACGAATTTCCAATCACATAAACCTCTGAAAGTGAGTGCATGAATAGTAATAATAATCATATCCATGTTGTTCGTCGGTACGCGTAGTTCGTCTTTGCATCTACCGGTCGGATGTCTGTCAGGGTTGTGATAACGCCAACAAAACAACAATCGAAGGTGTTTCGGTTTTTCAAAATAACCACACACATCTTCGTCTGTAAACGACTACGACTACACTCACGCGACAACGGTTCGAGTCTAGCCGAGGTAAGGAATTTTTCGCTGTTCGATTTTACTGTTGCGTTCTATATAGGAACGTGCAATAGTCTTGTGACGCATTGTTTCTGGTAGTTACGTACTATTGAGTAACCGAAGTATTCAATACAAATTCGCCGAATCTCCATCATCCATTATAAAATAATAAATATGACAATATGTCATTGAATATTATAATTTATTTTCATTAAGATTTTTTTTAAACTGAGGTTGTTGTTAAAAAAAATAGTATAACCATTGGCTTAAATTAAATTAAATTATTTTAGGGGAAAATTAATTATTTTAGATTCTGAGCGGAGCGATGAATGTATTGATTTTGCAATGTTGTGAGTTGTGTTTTTTTTTGTGAGTGTGTACACGATTATTTGTCGAATAATGCTTCGATTTTCAACTTCAGTAGATTTTCCAATTTTGAAATTCAAAAGTTTTCAAAAGCACCTGAAAAAACAAAAAAAAAATTAAGGAAAAATGGGAATTTTTACGCAAAATCAATTTTCGAGAAAATCGATTTTAGATGTTGATGCAATTCTAAAAAAAATTACCGTAGACATATGAAATTTTCACTGAATGTTTATACGGACATATTCTATACTTGATCAAATTTCCAAAATATTTCAAATCTTTTTAAGTTATTTTCCAAATTTAATACAATGCTACTATTGTAACAATGGTAGTTAAAAAATATTAAAAATGCATAGTTACCTACAGTTTTTTTTAAATATTAGTATTGAAAATTCGAATTTTGACAAAATTCGAAAGAATCACGAAAATTCGCAATTTATTTTGATTTCGAAATTCATAAAAATGTATAGTTTTATATCCAAGATTTGAAAATTCAATACAACATTTTTCGTGAGTTTGATAACTTTTATCAAATAAAAAATTTCTACCGAAAAGTCAAGTTAAATTTTTATGAGCATGTTATGAACGCCACCGCGTACGCCTGTGATGTCCCGTTATATTTTATATTGTGTCTCCGGTTGTATCCGAAGACGACAATTTGTTGAAACCGTTCTCTGTGTRGTGGGTGATAATCAGATGTTATTAAATAATTTATTAATAAAAKAACACACGTTTTAGATTTAAATGATGATTGATATTATATACTTTATTAGTTTTTAAATTGACATGTAATTTATACTATAAGCAAGCACACTACTYAGCTCGAATGAGTCGAGTTTCAGACTRAACTGCCGACAGGACTGATACTATCGTCTTGTCGCGCAAAAGCAAAATAACTAAGATAAGACGCCTACTACATACAGGCGTTATTATATTCTGTAAAACAAACGTCTCTATAGTCTATAGTGTGGGCATATAACACCCCCCGGGTTAGACGGAAGATCATTATCCTACTTTTAAACAATTATTTTGGGTAATGATTTTCCTTTTCTTATTTTAAGTTCTACTAGCATTTGAAATTTTATTTTTAAAAATATCACGACCAAACATATTTTATTTTAATTCCTACTTAATTTTTAAGAAAAACTAGAAGACTATTGTGTAATAATTCATGGTACCTTATTATAATAATCGTTAATACTTATAATAATTGCAATCTAAATGAATTTATTGTATAAAATAAATCATTTAATTTAACTTTATCGTTAAAATTATTTTTTTCAAATATTATCAATATTTTACATCAATGAACATAATATTTTAAAAAAGTTTTTTAGTACATGATAAAAAGTTAATATAAAAAATAAAAGCTAAAAACTCAATGAATTAAAAATTGTTTTTATGTGGGTCATCAATTTATCGAAGTTTAATTTGTAAAGATTTATTTTACCTATGCAGATGTAGGTATTATATTCCAGCCACCCAGATAACGCTATACTGGGTGGCGACCAAAATTTTCTTCTCGTATAACAAGAAAGTACCGAATAAAAATATGATATTTAAATAAGTTTAAGTATAAAGCATTTTAATGTTTAAATATTTTTAGTTCTTAAGTTTGATAAATAATAGATACAATTGTATGTCAATTTTATATTTTTGCAAAATCACTTTTAAAGACTATTATGCTGAATAAGTACAAAAATTTTAATAACTGAGAAACTACTCATTCGAATTATGAATTAGGTACCTATATTAAAATTTTCAAAAAAAAATAAAATAAAAAATATCCATTAAGTTATTTATAAGAAAAAGGTGTTCTTATTTGAAAAATAGAAGTTTGTATCACTAAGAAAAACTTTTTAAGTAGTAAGAAAAAATAAAAAAAAATTGAAATTATGGTATGTGGTACCTATATTATTTAAAAATTTCAAAAATCAGAATTTGAATAAATTCATTATTAAAGAAATAAATGTAGGTGAGTATGCTTGTTAAATCACTCTGCAGTATATTGTTTGGGAATATATTTGATTATTTAGTATTCAATGAGTAGTTCATGTTATGCACTTATGTGTTTGTTGAAATTGTGAGTATGCTTATAATAATACTTATTTATTATGCTATTGATATGATAATGTATACAATATGTATATATATATAATATATATATACAATAATTTACAATAAACATAACATATATGGGACCCATATACATATATAAAATAATATTTTAAAAGTCCATGGGGGGGATCCATCCCCCATATCCCCCCCGTGTCTACGCCCATATTATGGGTACTATCCTATAATTAATAGAGAAAATATATTATTTAATTTGTTTTATCTGTTATTCTGTTCTATATAATACCTACTACTAAAGTACTAAATACTATTAGGTACACTATACTCTTGCAACTGGCAGTCACATTATATAGTTTCTAGCGTGCAGGTTATGTTTGTTTAATTTTTAAATTCCGAATGATCTATTGTGTATTGTTATCTTTAACAATTAAAAAAGCGTAAAATACTTACTAGGTATATATTACTAGGTAATTCAATAAATTCATATAATTTTTAAACTAAAAATCAAACTTGATTATAATAAATGGTGATATTTTATAATTTATTAAATGTCTTCTTTAAATAGCATTTAATGATGATATCCATTTCTACAGATTAGATACATTTTATATAAATATATTTTTTTAAACTATTTTAGAGAACAGAAATGTTGTAAACGCTTAACTTTGAAAATAAATATTATAATGCCGTTATTAATGTGTATACATTACAAATAACAGTTGAATATCTAATTCTAAGATAAGTTAACATTAAATTGTAATTTGAACAATAAACTAACGAAAGAAACGGTAAAAAAGTAATTAACTTAGGTGTTTTTTTTTTTTTGACATGTTTGGTTCTAAATATTTTGTTATTATGTATGCACTATACAGTATAATAGGTACTAGTAACTACCTTCTGCTTCTGTAAAGTTTAAAATTACTAAACATAAGATTTAACATGTCCATAATATTAAGCTATTCACATGACTTTAAATAGGTAGTATGTTTGTATAAACCGTGTTTTATACTTCACACAATTGCGGTATTATACAAACAGAAAGTGAATGTATATATAATAATTTATGGGCGTCACGCGTTTGGGCGAATTTTTAAAAATTGCATTGTGTTTGGGGAATTCAGCATAATGCGTTTGGGCGAGTGATTTTAAAACATTGTAATGCGTTTGGGCGACCATTTTTTTATTATTTATTTTGAATACCCTGGGATCCTGTATTTTATCAATCCATTTTCCCTCTTACTTTGACAGACTTGGAACTGTCCGTGAATTCCACGGGTATGATTAAAAATGGATTGTTTATTTATGTGTGTGCGCGCGTGTAATTAAAAATTGAAATTATTTAGATTTTTTAAAAATGAAGTTAAAATATAATTAAAATTGAAAAAATATATTTGTTTTTTGTTTTATCTTATAATCATTACAATTTTTTCTTTTATATTGTGTCGCACCGTCCGAACTGCACGTCAATCACTTGTTTAATAATATTGAATCCTCATCAGTACTACGTTGAACCTTCGCTCACTAATTATGTCCAATCTAAAGATAAATGATAAACAAAATACGAAAAATGATAATCCCGATCACAAAATTCAGGAATAAAAAAAATATATTTTCTCACCCAAACACATTATAAGAAACTCGGTTAACTCGCCCAAACACATTACTTTTATTATAAGTACGGGTAAAAAGGCAATTCGCCCAAACGCAAACCGCCCATAATTTATATTCTCTATGCGAACGTTGCTACATAGTTTATAAATTATAAGTATAAAATCAGTTCAAACAAATAATTAATGTTAAATAACCCAATTAAATTTAGTATATTAAAAATGACATTAAATCAAAGTCTAAATAAAATAATGTATTATGTTACAAAACAATATACATTAACAAAAATTTAAACTAGGCTGCATACTGTACCCTTTATTAAACCATACCTCACCATACAAATTAAATGCTCTCTACTCCTATACACAACAATAATAAGACCGGCCGTTAGTAACCTACGCGTGCCCTATCTGGAAAGCTGACTCAAAAACAAAATTAAAAACATTTCAAATACATTTTTAAGAATAGTCCTAAAAGCCCCGTGGTTCATGAGGAATAAACAACTACACAATGATACGGGCCTACCACACATATACCACATACACCTGGATAACACAACAATTTAAAAATTTCCACGAGCATTCTATTTCAAAATCACCAGAAGATCCATCAATCTAAGACTTAAACCTTAGCTACCACAGGATATCTTACTTGAACTTAAAGAAGACACGTCAACCTCAGATTCTGACCTAGACTATAAGGTATCCAAAATTAAAGAATCATTGTAATAATGAAAATATTATCGTAAACATAATATTGTAATCATATTAATCGTATATTGTACCTAACAGAAGTATTGACACAATAAAAATTAAATAAGCAACAAAAAAAAATAAAAAAATAATAATAAAACAATATATCTAGATAATGATACATGTATTATAATCGTACATAAAAAAATTAGCTATAGAATATTCTCTATAATCTAAAATAATACACTAAAAACATGTTTAAACAATATTTTT